TCTTCTGAGAAGATAGAGTTAGAGAGTGTTTGTGGTGGAGTTTAAGCTGCCCAGAAGGGTAAAACCAGCACAACTATAAGCAGTAGTTCATATGTTCTTAGGAAAGACCAGGAAGCCTTTGAATCTTAAAATAGGTGGAGCAATTTTACCTCCACTACTACTCCTTCACATGAGACCCTTAGCAGGCCTCCTTCTCCTACAGAATTCGTCAAAATGTGAGAATAGCTTAGAGGTCAGAACAAACAAGTTGGAAATCACAAGTCATTTCTCTACAACTTATTAAGATCTGAATATTCTTCCTCAAGCATGCACATTTTTATAGCAACCTACAGCAAAAACAACTAGGCAAGAGTTCCCAGAATGTCCTTCTATAATCATACATTCTTCAACCATAAAAAGTATTTGAACACAAACACGAATACAGACATAGATTTGTATTCAAACAGACCAAAACTCCCTCATCAGTACTCACAGAAGGGAGGGCAGCCAATGATACTGGAAGATGGAAGCTGGCAACAACAAGGACCAGCAGGAGGAAGAATCTTTCCCCAAAGTCTGAGGTGCCCTTACAGAACCGCTTCACCCCTCTGTGGACTTAGAAGGAAAGACCCCTTTTGGGGGGGAAGGAATTGTGAAGCTGAGTAAGACAGACAGGTCTGCTCCCCATGAAACAACTAGTCCAAGTAAGAAAAAGTGACAGGTGATAGTATCAGTAGACTCTCTTCTGAGAGGTACAGAGGCACTCATCTGCCGACCTGGTTCTGCTTTTAAGGGAAGTCTGCTGTTTACTGGGGGCTTGTATCAGGGGTGTTACCAAAAGACTGCCAAGCCTTGTACAGCCTAAGGACTATTATCCACTGCTGCTGTTTCACGTGGGCACCAATGATGCAGCCAGGAACAGCCTGAGGAGTGTCAAGAGGGATTACAGAGCCCTGGGAGCAGCAGTAAAGGACTCAGGAGTGCAGGTAGTTTTTTCATCAGTCCTGCTGGTTAAAAGGGAGGGGGTTGAAAGGGCCAGTTGAATCTGGCAAATCAGCAGATGGTTTCAGGATTGGTGCCACAGACAGGGGTTCAGCTACTGAGATTATGGGGCTTGCTTTGAGAAACTTGGTTTACTGGGAGCTGAGATGGGGTCCATCTATCAGAGAAGGGGAAGAACATCTTTGGTCATAGTCTTGCCAAGCTGATGAAGAGGGCTTTAAACTACAGGAGTTAAAGATGTATGCATGCCTGCAAGACTATGACCTCATTGGCATTAAGGAGATGTGGAGGGACAGCTCCCTTGACTGGAGTGTTGGAATGGAAGGATACAGGCTCTTTAGGAAGGACAGGCAGGGAACATGAAGAGGAGGCATCACCCTCTGTGTCAGTGAGCAGCTAGAGTGCATGGGATGGATGAGGAGCTGACAGAGCTTACGTGTCAGGATTAAAGAGAGGGCAGGGACAGGTGACATTATAGTGGGAGTCTGCTACAGACCACCTGAAGACCAAGAAGACCAAGCAGATGAGGCCCTCTATAGATGGATATAAGCAGCTTCACATTCACAAGCCCTGGTTCTTGTGGGGTGTGCTGGATCTGGCTGGGATGAAGTTAACTTTCCTTGCTGAAGCCCATACAGCACTGTGCTCTGCACTTGTAGCTAGAACAGCACTGGTATCACACTAGTGTTTTGTCTATTGCTGAGCAATACTGGCACCACATCAGGATTCCCTCCAACCCCCTGAGAGCCAGCAGGCTGGGGGTGGGCAAGAGATGGGGAGGGGACAACACCAGGGCAGCTGACCTAAACCAACCAAAGGGATATTCCATACCATACGATGTCACACTCAGCAATAAATGTGGAAAAGGGAAGAAGAGGGGAGGGGTGGACTCTCGTTATGAAAACGTCTGTCCTCCCAAACAACTGCTACATGCATTGAGGCCCTGCTTCCTGGGACATGGCTGAACATCGCTTGTTGATGGGAAGTAGAGAGTAATTTCTTTTCTCTCTCTCTCTGTGCTTCCGCACAGCCTTTGCCTGTTTTGTGGTGTTTTGTTTTTTTTTTTTTTTGTTTGTTTGTTTGTTTTTCCCCTTTTCCTTTTCCCTTCAATTAAATTATCCTTATCTCAACCCGTGAGTTTTTTTTTTCTTTCCAGCATACTGTCTTCTTTCCCTCTTCTTCTAAGGAGGGGGAGTGAGAGAGTGGTTGTGGTGGAGTTCAGCTGCCCAACAAGGTAAAAACCACCACATGGGGGACTTCAAGAATCGTGATATCTGTTTGAGGGACAGCACAGCAGGACATAGGCAATCCAGGAGGTTCCTGGAATGCATTGATGACAATGTCCTTGTTGCCAACAAGGAGAGGTGCTATGCTGGACCTTATTCTCACCAACAAGGAGGGGCTGGTAGGGCATGTGAAGTGCAAGGGCAGCCTTGGCTGTAGTGATCATGAAATGGTGCAGTTTAGGGAAGCTTTCCTGAGGGAAGCAAGGAGGGAGCACAGCAAGCTTGCTACCCTGGAATTTGGAAGAGCAGACTTCGGCCTCTTCAGGGATCTGCTTGATAGAGTCACACGGGACAAAGCCCTGGAGGGGAGAAGGACCCAAGAAAGCTGGTTAATATTCAAGGATCACCTCCTCCAAGCTCAGGAGCGATACATCCCAACAAAGAGGAAGTCAGGCAAAAACACCACAAGCCCAGAAAGCCAACCTGGCTTGCAACCTGGGCTGCATCAAAAGAAGCATGGCTAGCAGGTCAGAAGAGATGATTCTCCCCCTCTACTCCGCTCTTGTGAGACCCCACCTGGACCACTGCATCCAGCTCTGGGGTGCCCAAATGAAAGAAGGACATGGACCTATTAGAACAAGTTCAGGGGAGGGTCACGAAGATGATCAGAGGGCTGGAACACCTCTCCTATGAAGACAGGCTGAAGGAGTTGGGGTTGTTCAGCCTGGAGAAGAGAAGGCTCTGAGGAAACCTTATAGTGGCCTTCCAGTACTTAAAGGGGGCCTAGAAAAAAGCTGGAAAGGGACTCTGTCGGGGAGTGTAGTGATAGGACAAGGAGTAACGGCTTGAAACTAAAAGAGGGTAGGTTTAGATTAGATATAAGGAAGAAATTCTTTACTCTGAGGGTGGTGAGGCACTGGAACAGGTTGCCCAGAGAAATTGTGGATGTCTCATCTCTGGAAGTGTTTAAGGCCAGGTTGGATGGGGCTTTTAGCAACCTGATCTAAGGTGTCCCTGCCCATGGCAGGGAGGTTGAAATTAGGTGATCTTTAAAATCTATTCCAATATAAAGCATTCTATGATTCTATATCCTCCTCTGTAATAACCTCCACTGGTGGAAACATGCCAAAACTTCATGATTAAGAATTTAACCTAGGATTGCCAACATACATAACTTAAATTAGCGAAGCAAGCTTTAAGAATAAATACAAAACATACCCTCATACCAAAAAGAGAAATCTAAAAACAGGGCTACAGATTTTTCTAAAAATAAAGTAGACTGAACACTCAGCAGTGCAAGTATGTAGTTTCTTAAAACTGTAATGAAGTCTGATAATAAACCATTTCAAATAGCATCAAAACCAAGTGCAAAGTCATCTCACACTTTTGAAAAATTTCAGACCTTTTGGCTCAAGCAACAGTGATATCTAGATATAAAAATTGGAAGAGATTAAAATGATTACCAACAAAAACAGAAGCAGAACAATTCTTCCTTTATTGTATGGTGTATAATCGCTTTGCACCAATTACTACTGTTGGAGGGGTGGTGAGGTAGAAAAGATAAGGCCATTTTAGCCTTAACTATTTTCAAAATGAAGTATATATATTTTAACACACATAGATCAGAATTTCAAAGGCACCTACATGTGTAACTTTTTCTATCAACAGGCCTTTCCAGAAAGGAATCTGTGATAATATTTTAGAATCTGAGGTTATACATCTCAAATATGATATTAGCTACCCCAACAAAGAGATTATTAGCTGCTTAGCCACATTCTTCTACTCCAACTAAGTTGTCAGGCACTGATACCTCAGATAGTGGACTGTAAACAGAAATATTTCATGAAGCATATTCTTAAACATGCCATCTGTTTTAATGCTGGTGGTAGAGGGAAACAACAGTAATAATCCTAACAGAAAAACAAGTTCTGATGCACAACTATACCAGATTTCAAAAGTTTTTTTTTAAAAAAAACAGATCAACAGATTAGCTGCATACCTTTCTCTATCTCCAACTAAAGAAGGCTGACATCTGACATAACTATAGACCTATAGGACATTGTATGCCAGATTGACAGCTAGGCAACTACATGTGAATGGAGAGACACTGCTATATAGAATAACCATGAGAACATTCTAAATATTGCCAAACATATAGTAAATAAGCTCCAAAAAGGGCAGCCTTAATATCAAGCCAACTAAATAGTGTAGTTTCTTCCTCTCTTACGTGATCAATCTCACTGTATTAGAATACCAGTAAGATGTAGGAAACTTCCAATACCTCCACTGATTTTCAGGAAATGCTTTCTGGATTTTTGTTTGTTTTCAAACAAAACAAACTAACAGAACACTGTTGGGCTAATTTAACATTAGCATTAAAGTTCTGAAGTCAATGATTCTCTGCTATACTCACCCTATAGTCAGAATATAACGGCACGGGCACTAATATTCATAGAGGGAGGCAGAAGCTACGTGTAAATAAAATATTTAGTACTATGCTACTACAACATTAAAAGTTGCCCAGTTAAAAAACAAAAGTAACAGAGGCGCACAACTCAATGGTGACTTAATCATTTTCCATGTACCTAACCGAAATGAAACATTTTGTTGAGTGTACTCACTAACTACAAAAAACCTTAATAAAACATTCCCATCTCTCAAATACAGGTACATACCTCCCCACTCAGCATTTAAATGAACAAACACTTCAAGGAAAAAAATATACTCAATTTCTAGATGAGAAATTTTCATATGCTTTCACTGTAATAAAAAAATGCTGAAGCAGCTTACCACCTCTGTTGATGTTTCTGCATGTTCAGAAGCAACATGTTCTTGAAGAGATGTTTCTGTATAACCCATCTTTCCACAATAAGGACAAGTAAAAGACTGTGGCTGTTCTACAGAGAAAGCTTCTCCACCATAATACAAATCTGGAAAAAGATGATGTTTTAAGAGGAGTTATTATTAAGCAGCATAGCCCATTCTTTTTTTCATATAATTCTTTATATATTCCTATGTGCATGTAATAACTGCCAAATTCATTCATTCGTTAATCAAAATAAACATTTTAATTCCGCATAAAGTGAAGATGCTGATATTGTATAGTTGTTCAATGACTCAACTGACAAACAAATAGACAGACTACACAGCATTTTGACTAATAAACAATTTAAGTTTCTAATATTCAGGAAGAGTGTTGTGGTTTAATCCAGCAGGCAGCTAAACACCTCTCAGCCGTTCGCTCACCCTTTCCACCAAAAGCAGGATGGGGGAGAGAATTGGGAAGAAAAAAAAAAAAGTAAAAGATTGTGGGTTGAGATAAAGACAGTTTATTAGGACAGAAAAGGAAAATAATAATAATAATGATAAAAGTAATCATAACAATGTGTGCAAAACAAGTGATGAGATGCACAATGCAATTGCTCACTACCCGCTGACCGATGCCCATCCCATCCCTGAGCAACTGGTCCCCCCACCCCGGCCAGCCACCCCATCCATATCAATTGCTCAGCATGACATCATATGGTACGGAATACTCCTTTGGCCAGTTTGCGTCAGATGTCCTGGTTCTGTCCCCTCCCAGCACCTGCTGCACGTCCAGCCTCCTCGCTGTCAGGACAGAGCGAGAAGCTGAAAAGTCCATTGGCTTAGTGTAAGCACTGCTCTGCAACAATTAAAACATCAGTGTGTTATTCTCATCCTAAATCCAAAACACAGCACCATATCAGCTACTAGGAGGAAAATTAACTTTATCCTAGTCAAAACCAGGACAATATCCACCCCTTATTCCATACCATATACGTCATGCATCGGTCCCACACTTTCCAATACATCCCAATTAATCACCACTTTTCATATCACAGAATCACAGAATGGTTCAGGTTGGAAGGGCTCTGAACATCATCTAGTCCAACCCTCCTGCCAAGCAGGATCATATAGAGCACATTGCACAGGATGGCATCCAAGCAGGTTTTGAATATCTCTGGAGGAGACTCCACAACCTCTCTGGGCAACCTGTTCCAGTGCTCAGTCACCCTCACAGTAAAGAAATGCCTGGGAACCTCTGGGGGACAACACTAGTTACAGGCCTCCAACTAGACCCTGCACCACTAAACTCAACCCTCTGAGATCTGCCATTCAGCCAATTGACAATCTACCTCACCATCCACTCATCTAGGCCACACTTCCAGAGCTTTTCTATGAGAATGTTATGGGAGACAGTGTCAAACACCTTGCTGAAGTCAAGGTCGACCACATCCACCCCTCTCCTCTCATCTACCCAGCTAGTCATCCCACCATAGAAGGCTATCGGATTGGTTAAGCATGATTTCCCCTTGGTGAATCATTACAGACTGCTCCTGATCACCTTCTTATCCTCCACATGCTTGGAGACGACCTCCAGGATGAGATGCTCCATCACGTTTCCAGGGATGGAGGTGAAGCTGACTGGCCTGTAGTTGCCTGGGTCCTCCTTCTTGCCCTTTTTGAAGACTGGTGTGACATTAGCTTTCTTCCAGTCCTCAGGCACCTCTCCTGTTCTCCAGGACCTTTAAAAGATCATGGAGAGTGGCCTAGCAATAACATTGGCCAGCTCCCTCAGCACCCGTGGGTACATTCCATTGGGGCACATGGATTTATGAACGTCAAGTTTGCTTAGATGATCTTTGACACGATCATCTTCGACCAAGGGAAAGACGTGCTTTCTCCAGACTTCTTCACTTGTCGCCAGGGTCTGAGATTCCTGAGGACTAGTCTTAGCAGTAAAGACTGAAGCAAAAAAGGCATTCAGCATCTCTGCTGTTTCTGTATCCTTTGGCACCATAGCACCCGCCACATTCAGCAGCGGACAAACATTTTACCTAGTATATGTATATATAAAACGTCTACTGAGTTTGTTCAGACCATGACTAACTTTGGGCTCCAACTGTCACAACAATCTTTGTTGAGATGGTGTGTGATATTGGATCATCACCCACTGAAACCCGTTCTGGTTCCATCACAAAGCTGTGCACGTCCAATTCTATCAAAATTCATTCATCATTATCTGCATAACTCTTACTGTGACACCATTCATATCATGATCTTCAGTGGCCCCATTCTTGGTCACATGATCATTTCCATGGTGTACTTTTACTACCAGGTTCTCTACCTGGGCAGCAATATCTTGCCCCAGTGCAACATCCCAGATGGGTTTGCCTCTGTTCTGCCAGTTGCTCTGCTTCCATTGCTGTAACCACCCCCACAGGGCATTTGCTACCATCCATGAATCAGTGTAGAGATAGAGAACTGGCCACTCTTCTCATTCAGCAATATCTAAAGCCAGCTGAATTGCTTTCACTTCTGCAAACTGACTCGATTCACCTTCTCCCTCAGCAGCTTCTGCAACTCGTCGTGTACGACTCCATACAGCAGCCTTCCATCTCCAATGCTTTCCCACAATAGGACAGGACCCATCAGTGAACAGGGCATATTGCTTCTCATTTTCTGGCAGCTTGTTGTGCAGTGGGGCTTCTTCAGCACAGACCACCTCCTCCTCTGATGATATCCCAAAATATTTGCCTTCTGGCCAGTCCATAATCACTTCCAAGATTCCTGGGTGACTGGGGTTTCCTATTCGAGCCTGCTGAGTAATCAGTGCAACCCACTTACTCCATGTAGCATCAGTTGCATGATGTGTAAAGGGGGACCCTTCCTTTGAACATCCAGCCCAGTACCAGCAGTCGGGGTGCCAGGAGGAGCTGCGCTTCACTACTGACCAACTCCGAAGCAGATCAAACTCCCTCATACATTGTCAATATCTCTTTTTCGTTTGGACTGTAGCAGGCCTCAGATCCTCTGTACCCCCGACTCCAAAACCCGAAGGGTAGAACTCGAGTTTCCCTAGGCTCTTTCTGCCAGAGGCTCCAGGTGGGGCCATTCTCCCTGGCTGCGCTGTAGAGCACATTCTTTACATATTGTCCTGCTTGGACTGGCCCAAGGGCTACTGCATGAACCATCTCCCATTTAATACGTTCAAAGGCTTGTCATTGCTCAGGGCCCCATTTGAAATCATTGTTCTTACCTGATAGAGCGGGCTTACAATCAGACTGTAATTTGGGATGTGCATTCTCCAAAACCCCATGACACCTAGGAAAGTTTGCATTTCTTTTTTGTTATTTGGTGGAGACATAGCTGTTATTTTGTTGATCACATCCATTGGTATTTGACGACGTCCATCTTGCCATTATATTCCTAAAAACTGGCTCTCTCGTGCAGGTCCTTTGACTTTATTTTGTTTTATGGCAAAACCGGCCTTCAGAAGGATTTGGACTGTTTTCTTCCCTTTCTCAAAACCATCAGCTGCTGTGTCACCTCATACGATGATGTCATTAATGTACTGCAGGTGTTCAGGAGCTTCCCCCTGTGAAATATGTTCATTTGATTCGTGTCAATATGGAACAATGCTAGGGCCTCATAATGAAATGTGACCTTCTGTCTTACATACCCTTGTATAAATAACCACAAGTCCAAGAGAAACAGAGTGGTTAGTGTATATAGCTCTTGCATCTTGCAAAAGAATGGTCTAGCAGTTCGTGTCGATAGAGGGTTTGAAGGGTAAACCTTGAGACTCGGGTCTGGGAGATAAGAGAATAGGGGGGAGTTTTTTGATAACTGCTGACTATTGCATGAGACACAACTTTCTGACATCTGGCCCAGAGACTACTAAATAAGGAGAGGGGGGAAGCTGAAGAACAACCAAAGGACAAAGCCTGGGAGGAAGACTACGAGCCTCTACGAGCGACCCCCAGAGGGCCCACCGGAGACTGATACGCATGCGTCCGTGGGATGGTTCGTGTCCCGGGAAACTAATTATAATAACCCTGCCTTTTCCAAAAGTGGTGATGAATATGTATTAGCCTAGGAGCATAAAAACCAGCCGCCTGATGTAATTGGTGTGCATCTTAGTGGAGCAGAGACTCCCGGCGTACCCAGCGCTGTTTGCTTACCTCTATTCGTTTAATAAATTGTAAACTTTGATTGTAACCCTATTTGGGACTCAGTCATTTATTACACCCCTGTTCCAGCGCAGACTGGATCAGTCCATGGCAAATGGTAGGGCTGTGTTTCCCCCCCGGGACAGCCAATTCCAGGTGTATTGGACACCCCTCCAAGAAAAAGCAAACTGTAGCCTGCACTCTCCTGCTAGAGGGATGGAGAAAAATGCATTAGTGATACCGACTGTGGCGTACCACTTGGCTGCTTTTGATTCCAGTTTGTACTGGAGTTCTAGCATGTCTGGCACTGTATCACTCAGTGGTGGCGTGACTTCGCTCAGGCCACGATAGTCCACCGTTAGTCTCCACTTGCCATTAGACTTTCGCACTGGCCATATGGGACTATTAAAAGGTGAATGAGTCTTGCTGATCACTCCTTGGCTCTCCAGTTGACAAATTAGCTTATGGATGGGAATTGGGGAAGTCTTGCCGCCAGTGCACAGTTGTGCACAGTTGTGGTAGCGATTGGCACCTACTGATCTTTGACCCTCAGCAACCCCACAACAGAAGGGTCCTCCGAGATACCAGGCAAAGTAGACAACTGTTTAATGCCCTCTGTCTCTAAGGCAGCTATGCCAAAAGCCCACTGGAACCCTTTTGCGTCCTTGAAATATCCTCTCCTGAGGCAGTCTATGCCAAGGATGCATGAAGTATCTGGGCCAGTCATAATACAGTGCTTTTGCCACTCATTCCCAGTTAAACTCACTTCAGCCTCCAATACAATTAACTGCTGGGATCCCCCCGTCACCCCATAAATACAGACAGGTTCTGGCACCAGTGTCTACCAAAGCCTTATACTTTTGTGTGCTTGACGTGCCAGGCCATCAAATCCACGTGGTCCAATAAACTTGATTGTCCCTTTCCTCCCCCTGGCTGGAGGCTGGGCCCCTCTAATC